TGGTTTATACAGATGGGGCAGGGAGAGAAGATAAGGGGGGAAAAGCCGAAGCCGGCGGGTCTGAGCGACCCTCGGCTTGGTACCATTGACAGGAAGATGAAGTGCGAAACTTGCACTGCTAACATGGCCGAGTGTCCCGGGCATTTTGGGCATCTTGAGCTTGCCAAGCCCATGTTCCACATTGGGTTTATGAAGACTGTTCTCACCATTATGCGTTGCGTTTGCTTCAATTGCTCCAAAATAATGGTCGACGAGGTAAAGGGACTCCGATCACTATTTGCGTTTCGGTGTATTATTTGTTGTCACATGGATAGAGAACTGTGTTATAGACAGAGACTATGTATGCTGATTCTTATCCTTGGCATTTGTAGGATGACCACAAGTTTAAGCAAGCTCTGAAAATAAAGAACCCAAAAAATAAGCTTAAAAAGATTTTGGATGCGTGCAAGAACAAATCGAAGTGTGAAGGTGGTGATGATATTAACGTCCAAGGGCAAGAATCTGAAGAACCCGTGAAAAAGAGTCGGGGTGGCTGTGGTGCCCAGCAGCCAAAGCTGTCTATAGATGGAATGAAAATGGTTGCCGAGTACAAATCGCAGAGGAAGAAAATTGATGAGCAGGAACAGCTTCCTGAACCTGTGGAGAGAAAGCAGACTCTTACTGCAGAAAGAGTAATTTTTTGCTGATACACTTGAATATGCATTAGTTGCCTTGTCTAGACTGACGTGTTAGATGAATGCTCATATTATCTTTAAGCGTTGCAGGTTCTGAGTGTTTTGAAGAGAATAAGTGACGAGGATTGTCAGCTTTTGGGCTTGAATCCAAAGTATGCTCGTCCAGATTGGATGATTCTGCAAGTTCTTCCAATCCCTCCACCTCCAGTTAGACCTTCTGTGATGATGGACACATCCTCCAGGAGTGAGGCAAGCGTTTCTTTCTTTTGTTCTTGTTTTCTTGGGTTCTTAAGATGACCAATCTTTTCGTTTGTTCTTTTAGCAATTTGGTATTGTTTTTCTTTTTGTTTATGTTCTAATTAAGAAAGGGTTCTAAATTGTATTTTTTTTTCAGTTTTGTTTTGACCTTTTGCCTTTGCTGATTCCAGGATGATTTGACTCATCAATTGGCCATGATTATAAGGCACAATGAAAATCTAAGAAGACAGGAGAGGAATGGTTCACCTGCCCATATCATTTCAGAGTTCGCACAGCTGTTACAGTTCCATATAGCCACGTACTTTGACAATGAGTTGCCTGGATTGCCAAGGGTATGGTTACTTGTAATCATGGATACAGGAACTCATGTCCAAGTACATGTACATGTACGTTGGTAACCTATGAACTTATTTATGTGCATATGCAGGCTACACAGAGATCAGGGAGGCCAATAAAATCAATATGCAGTAGGCTTAAAGCGAAGGAAGGTCGGATTAGAGGGAACTTGATGGGAAAACGTGTGGATTTTTCTGCACGTACAGTTATCACCCCTGATCCAACCATTAACATTGATGAATTAGGAGTGCCCTGGAGTATTGCTTTAAATCTTACATATCCAGAGACTGTGACGCCATATAACATTGAAAGGTGGATCTTCTTTGCATGTTCCACTCTTACTCGATACCATTTCTTCCATCTTTGCTCCTAACCGGGTGTGTCTGATTGAGAAATCAGGTTGAAGGAGCTTGTTGAGTATGGGCCCCATCCCCCACCTGGTAAAACTGGTGCAAAGTACATCATAAGAGATGATGGACAAAGGCTCGATCTTCGTTACTTGAAGAAAAGTAGTGATCATCATTTGGAGCTCGGATATAAGGCAAGACTTCCTATATTATTATTATTACTATTATTTTTGGGACCTTGGAGTGGATCTGTGGTTCCACTTCTCAACTTCTGGTTTTTTTGTTTCAGGTGGAGCGCCATTTGAATGATGGTGATTTTGTCTTGTTCAATCGTCAACCCAGTCTCCATAAAATGTCTATTATGGGGCATAGGATCAAGATCATGCCATATTCAACTTTCCGGCTTAATTTATCCGTCACTTCGCCATACAATGCTGACTTTGATGGTGATGAAATGAATATGCACGTTCCTCAATCATTTGAGACTAGGGCAGAAGTACTGGAGCTTATGATGGTGCCCAAATGCATTGTATCCCCTCAGTCAAATCGACCTGTGATGGGAATTGTCCAGGATACACTCTTGGGTTGTCGTAAAATCACGAAGAGAGATACCTTCATAGAGAAGGTTAGAGAATATCATGATTTCTTTGGGTATATTTCATATTAATCTGCTTGCTTCTGATCCCTGCTAATCTGTTGCAGGATGTTTTCATGAACATCTTGATGTGGTGGGAGGATTTTGATGGAAAAGTTCCTGCTCCTGCAATTTTGAAGCCACGGCCTCTTTGGACTGGAAAACAAGTTTTTAATCTTATTATTCCGAAACAGATAAATCTGAACAGAACTTCTGCCTGGCACGCTGAGTCGGAAAGTGGATATATAACTCCAGGGGATACATTAGTTAGAATAGAAAAGGGAGAGCTGCTTTCTGGAACTCTTTGCAAGAAGACCCTTGGGACATCTTCAGGAAGTCTTATACATGTGATATGGTATGCAGTCTTCTTCCCGTGCACACACTTCAGTGCCAAAATAAAAGTGGAATATCTACATTTTGGTTGAAAAGTCTAGTTTAGATCTTAGGAATTTCTGATTTAGGGGAACTTGTAGCAATCCAAACTATTAGAATCTGCTCTTCTACTTGGACTTTTGTGAGTGCAATTTCGATCTAGTTATGACCATATTCTGTGTCCTGGATATAAACTCGATCTGTAGCAACCATTTCTTAGCATTATTTAGCCATTCTACTTGGGACTTTTTGATTCGTACAAGTTTTTCAAAAATATTGTTGAACACAGGGAAGAGGTTGGTCCAGATGCAGCCCGCAAGTTTCTGGGTCATACACAGTGGCTTGTCAACTATTGGCTTTTGCAGAATGGTTTTAGTATTGGTATCGGAGATACAATTGCCGATGCATCGACCATGGAAAAAATTAACGAGACCATTTCAAGGGCAAAAAATGACGTGAAAGAACTTATCAGGAAAGCCCAAGCAAAAGAGCTAGAAGCTGAACCTGGGCGCACAATGATGGAGTCATTTGAAAACAAAGTGAACCAGGTGCCTTGAGTTTACTTGATTTGGCCTTATTTTATCTTTCTTTCTTTCTCTTTTTTTTTTTATTTTTAATTTTTGTATGCCTTCTGTTGATTACTAATATGTGTGGTACCTATAGGTCTTGAATAAGGCTCGTGATGATGCTGGAAGTAGTGCCCAAAAGAGTTTGTCTGAGAGCAACAATCTTAAAGCTATGGTTACTGCAGGATCTAAAGGAAGTTTCATTAACATCTCACAGATGACTGCTTGTGTGGGGCAGCAAAATGTTGAGGGCAAGCGAATTCCCTATGGGTTTATAGATCGAACATTGCCCCACTTCACCAAAGACGATTATGGGCCAGAAAGTCGTGGCTTTGTTGAGAACTCGTATCTGCGAGGACTGACCCCACAAGAGTTCTTTTTTCATGCTATGGGTGGTAGAGAAGGTCTTATAGATACTGCCGTGAAAACTTCTGAGACTGGGTACATCCAGCGGAGACTGGTGAAAGCTATGGAGGATATTATGGTCAAATACGATGGGACAGTCAGGAATTCATTGGGGGATGTTATTCAATTTCTCTATGGGGAAGATGGAATGGATTCTGTTTGGATAGAATCTCAGAAACTGGATTCTCTGAAAATGAAAAAAACAGAATTTGAGAGGGTTTTTAGGTATGAGTTCGATAATGAAACTTGGAACCCAACCTACATGTTACCTGAACACGTAGAGGATCTCAAAACCATTAGAGAGTTTCGCAATGTGTTTGATGCTGAAGTTCAGAAACTTGAATCTGATAGATTACAACTGGGAACAGAGATTGCTACCACCGGTGATAATTCTTGGCCATTGCCTGTTAACCTGAAGAGGCTTATTCAGAATGCACAGAAGACCTTCAAGATAGATTTCCGAAGGACTTCTGATATGCACCCAATGGAAATTGTAGAAGCTATTGATAAGCTCCAGGAGAGGCTGAAGGTTGTTCCTGGTGAGGATCCGTTGAGTGTCGAAGCTCAAAAGAATGCTACATTGTTTTTTAACATTTTGCTCCGAAGTACTTTTGCTAGCAAAAGGGTGCTGGAGGAATACAGGCTTACTCGAGAAGGATTTGAATGGGTTATTGGAGAAATAGAATCTCGTTTCCTACAGTCACTTGTAGCCCCTGGTGAAATGATAGGTTGTGTTGCTGCACAGTCAATTGGTGAGCCTGCTACTCAGATGACTCTCAATACCTTCCACTATGCTGGTGTGAGTGCCAAGAATGTTACTTTAGGTGTTCCCAGGTTGAGAGAAATTATAAATGTAGCCAAGAGAATCAAAACTCCATCTCTCTCTGTCTTTTTGAAGCCTGAAGCAAGTAAAACCAAAGAGAGGGCCAAAACTGTTCAGTGTGCTTTGGAGTATACCACTCTCCGGAGTGTAACGCAAGCTACAGAAGTTTGGTATGATCCAGACCCCATGAGCACAATCATCGACGAGGATGTTGACTTTGTCAGGTCTTACTATGAAATGCCGGATGAAGAAATTAACCCAGATAAAATCTCCCCTTGGCTGCTTCGCATAGAATTGAATCGTGAAATGATGGTGGATAAGAAGCTGAGCATGGCTGATATTGCAGAGAAGATCAACGTCGAATTTGATGATGATTTGACTTGTATATTCAACGATGATAATGCTGAAAAACTGATCCTTCGAATCCGTATCATGAATGATGAAGCACCAAAAGGAGACTTAACTGATGAAGCTGCTGAGGACGATGTTTTCTTAAAGAAAATTGAGAGTAATATGCTGACAGAAATGTCTCTTCGTGGTATCCCAGATATCAACAAGGTGTTTATCAAACATGGTAAAGTAAACAAGTTTGACGAGAATGATGGATTTAAACCAGAGAATGAGTGGATGCTTGATACAGAAGGTGTCAATCTGTTGGCTGTTATCTGCCATGAAGATGTTGATGCAAAGAGAACGACAAGCAATCACTTGATTGAAGTTATTGAAGTTCTTGGTATTGAGGCAGTTCGTCGGTCACTCTTGGATGAATTGCGTGTTGTCATATCTTTTGATGGGTCTTATGTGAATTACCGGCATTTGGCTATCCTTTGTGATACGATGACCTATCGTGGACACTTGATGGCCATTACTCGTCATGGTATCAACAGGAATGACACTGGGCCAATGATGCGATGCTCTTTTGAAGAAACTGTGGACATTCTTCTTGACGCTGCAGTGTATGCTGAAACCGACTATTTGAGGGGTGTTACAGAGAATATAATGTTGGGTCAGCTTGCGCCAATTGGTACAGGAGGTTGTGCCTTGTATCTCAATGATGAGATGTTGAAAAATGCTATTGAACTCCAGCTACCTAGTTATATGGATGGTCTTGATTTCGGCATGACACCTTCCCGCTCTCCAGTCTCGGGAACTCCTTATCATGAAGGCATGATGTCTCCAGGTTATCTGTTGAGCCCAAATCTCCGTTTGTCTCCCATATCCGATGCTCAATTCTCTCCATATGTTGGAGGAATGGCCTTCTCTCCTACTTCATCCCCTGGTTACAGTCCATCATCTCCGGGCTACAGTCCTTCTTCCCCTGGATACAGTCCAACCTCGCCTGGTTATAGTCCTACTTCGCCTGGATATAGTCCAACAAGTCCTGGTTACAGTCCCACCTCTCCGACGTATAGTCCCAGTTCTCCGGGCTATTCTCCTACAAGTCCTGCCTATTCTCCTACAAGTCCATCTTATTCACCCACATCACCCAGCTATAGTCCTACTTCTCCGAGTTACAGTCCAACCTCTCCAAGCTACAGCCCGACTTCACCAAGTTACAGTCCAACTTCTCCAAGCTATAGTCCGACTTCACCAAGTTATAGTCCGACTTCGCCAGCTTACAGCCCCACATCCCCTGCGTATAGCCCCACTTCCCCAGCATACAGCCCGACCTCACCATCTTACAGCCCCACATCACCGTCCTATAGCCCAACATCACCTTCCTACAGCCCGACATCGCCCTCCTACAGCCCAACATCTCCATCCTACAGTCCTACTTCACCAGCCTATAGCCCCACTTCTCCTGGCTATAGTCCAACCTCACCAAGTTACAGCCCAACCTCACCCAGCTATAGCCCAACATCTCCAAGTTACAATCCTCAGTCGGCAAAATACAGCCCCTCACTGGCGTACTCTCCAAGCAGCCCGAGGTTGTCACCATCTAGCCCATATAGTCCTACATCTCCGAATTACAGGTAAGTTTTTTTGTAGCATCAGAGATTTCTTTGCTCTTGAAAATCAGTCTGTACTCGCATGGTGACGCCTTTTTGTCAACTTCGCTCGCTTGTTTAAAACAAAGTCGTGGGCTACTTAATACTTGTACATCTCCAATTATGTGTTCCGGGGGCATCTACTTATATGGTTGACTTTTTATTTTTGATGCACATGCAGCCCAACATCACCATCATATTCACCCACATCTCCATCGTATTCTCCTTCAAGCCCCACATACAGTCCCAGCAGGTAAGCTCTTTTGTTTAAGCTTTCCTATTTTCCTATAAAAATTTTAGATTTAGAATGTTGGACTAATCTCTCCGCTTTTTTTTTTCACTCTAATTCGAATTCTATTTCTATTTGTACAGTCCATTTAACTCTGGTGTTAGCCCAGACTATAGCTCGAGTTCTCCACAATACAGGTAAAGCTGAACAAGGCATTGTTTGCTTTAAACAGCTCTTTGAAGCTGCAGGTGACTGGTGTTTATCCTCGTTCTAAAAAGTTTTCCTGTCCATGCAGCCCAAGTGCAGGGTACTCACCCAGCCAACCTGGCTACTCGCCATCATCGACGAGCCAATACACTCCACAAACAAGCGATAAAGATGACAAGGATGATCGGAGCACTCGTTAGTCCATCATGATCGCTAAGTGATCTGAGATTATGCAAAAGGTCAGTTATCATCATTCTTAATTGTTGCACTAAATTAACCCTAACAGAAGTGTTTGGATGCGCAACGGATGCAAATTGATCTGTTCATGCATTCCACTCGCAGCTTCATGCGTGAAGTGGGCTTTGGATCTGCGAAACTGCGTCCAAATGCACGTAGAGACCTCATCTTTCCGCGAGCTCTTTCACTTTGTATTATACTTGAATATGTATCATCAACCCGTTGCCATCGGAACAATTTCTGCTAGACTGAGTTTAAAAGACATACTAATTGAATTCCTGCTTATAAACGCATCTTTTGTTTTGGGTCGCTACTGAAGTCAAATGCTTCAAGTATTCAAGGTCGGTATATAGCTTGTATCCAGAGAGACCAGTTTATTACAAATAATAGTCTTAAAGATTACTTGCTTGCAAGTAAATTACGAGCATGTTCAATATGTATTTCAGCATTTTGAATAGATCTGTAACCGCCGTCTTGTCATTCAAAAACTTCATTGATAAATACTTTTCAAATATTTTAATTTACAAAATGACTTCGGAAGGACCACCAATTTTTATACTGAGCTGATTAAAAATTGTAATTTATTTTGTTAATTTCATTTCCTTGGGTAATCAACTTAATAAATTCTTCAAAAACCGCCTGAGGAAAGAAAAAGAAATATCTCACTTAGTGGTTTCACAATCCCCAGTTGAAGAGGTCGTTTTGAATATCGTGATCACTACTGAGATTATCCTGTTTAATTCGTTGATTTAAGTTTTTAATTCGAGTTGAGATGTGACTTTACGTGAGTTTTTTTACTGCAGTAAGAAAGTTAAATGTGATTATTTCTGAGAGTTTTTTAGTATAATAAAATTTGAATTTTAAACTTGAATTTTAAACTTGAATCGGTGAAATAAATGGAATGTATACTTTTTCCTTTATTTTAAGCTTAACAAAAACAATATGGTATTTGTTACTTGTTACTGTTAGCTTGTTTTGTGAACAACTGAAAATAGCTACAAGAACTAAAAGTTAAAACATATATGTATACATATATATATAAATCGCTCTGTCAAGCTAATAAGAGGACTGCCGAGCAGAATTCCGCCGGCCCTAAAGTCTCCCTTTCAATTATCAAAAATAATAATAATAATAATAAAAGAAATAAAAGAAAAGAAAAAAGGGTCCTCCTTTTTAAATTCAGGCCGGCTGTCTACGCGGGCATCAGCTCCTCCAATGAAAAAGTCAACTTCCTTTGTCCTCATCCCAAACTTACCACCATTATACACACACACACGCACACACATATATATATATATATATATATATATATATAATCTTGGACTAACAACAATAGAAGAAGATTTCTGTATGCGAATTCTGAATGGAGAGAAAAACATCAAACTTGAGAAACAAGATTGCCAAGCTTCTTTCTCTTCCCCATGCAACTCCTTCCATCACCGCCATCTTAGTAAGCCCTCCTCTAAGCCCCCGCAAGCCCAGCTCAACCAAGCCAGTCTACACTTCCATTATTCCTTCTGAGGCCAGAAGAAAGCCCAAGTATGGAAGTAGCTTCGACACTCGCGAGCCCACTTCTCCCAAGGTCTCATGCTTGGGCCAAATCACCAACAAGAAGAAGCCCAAGCCCAAGCCCAAGAAGGTTGGCTGCTCCGTGCAAGAGGTCAAGGTTGTCAAGAAGAGACACAAAAAGGGTGTCAAAGAGAATATGATTATTGATGATGGTCCTAACTCTAAGGACAAGGCAGATGGTTCTAACGTTGGGATATTAGTGGTGCCTTCTTTGGGTGAGATGAAGAGGTTTACAAGTGCTCGTGGTGTTTTGTCAGAATTTTAATGGAATGCCCAAGTTAGGGTTGTTTCTTCAAGATCCAAACAAGGTGATTATATTTCTACCAAATATAGCAACTGATCATGAAGGTTTGGCACTTCTGCCCAAGTAAGATGCCAAACTTTTCGAAAAGAGTGAATTTCGCTCTTCCTTTGGATTCAGCTAATTAAAGTAACTTTCATACTGAGTGAGGGGACGTTTCGAAGGAAAATTCGTGGCATGATTCGAATCATGGTTCGTGATTCGTTATAGTATTTTTTTCTCACAAAAAATACACGTAAAACGAGAATAGTTCTGAATCATGAATCAAACGTCCCAATATATTATATTACTGCTATTAATTTTTAGGAAACTTTTATAATAGGAACCGTTCTTTTTTCTTATTGGAAGAAAGTGTTAGTTTTTGTTATTATATTAACTTTTTAATGCTTTGATTTGTGATTAGAAATAAACTTGTGTTTCAGTAAATGTTAGACACTCACAAATCAGACCATTTATAAATTAATCTAATAATTAAAACAACAATTTCTAAACAGGGAAAAGGGACAGCTTTCACCATAAAATTTCTTCAAATTTTTCATTCCAGGATCACTTAATTAAGATCTACAAAGAATGAAACTTTATTGCTTTCTTAAAAAAAAAAAATCTATATATTGGTATTTGGGTATATACTATGGAAGTTGTTTATTTGGGTGTGACTAATCAAAGTATCTTTCTTATTGAGTAGTAGAATGTCCGTCAGATTATTGTTGTTGTTGTTATGGGCATAGAACTAGACTTTATTGCTTTTTATCTTCATAATAAGCATATACTATGAAAGTTAATTATTTTTCTTTTTGGATGATTTTGAAGTGGGAAGTTGAGTGCGACTAAAGTTTTTGTTGGATCCATTTCTTCTATAAATCTGGCCACTTGAAGATTGCTTTCATATCACTCCCCAGTAAAAGATGACTCCAATGAGATTGTGAAAGTGACCCAAATTATAAATCAATGTCTTTTTTTTTTTTTTTTTTTAATTTTTTTTTTTTTTTTTTTTTTTTTTTTAACTGGTTTTGTCTCTTGTTTTCTAGCTGATTAAGACGGTTTTGAAAAGGTAGCAAATGAGACATAGGAATCTTAACCTTTATATTACAGTGAGGAAGCAACCTAGAAAAATAACAAGCAAAAGCAAGGCATAGTTGTTTTCCAAGGAACACATAAATGGGCATTTCCAACTTTTGTATCTTAGCAAGAATATATAAAAGGCATTATTAGCACAATACCAACAGCCACTGGCTGATCTGTTCAATCGACTTTATATGATTTACCACGTTCGGAAAAAACAGACAACTTGTATATTCCTTTTTCTTTTCTGGAAGAAAACGGTTTAGAGTTTAGACACAACATGAAAACAAACCCTTTACATCAAGCAAGTTGAGACACCCCCAATACAGAAAACTAGTGCTTTATAACTCTGAAGCTTTATTCTTTTCAGGGATTCGAATCACAACTCAATTTTTTACTATAGTATTTTCTCTCATAAAAATTTAAATTTTTAGACACAATATGAAAACAAACCCTTTACATCAAGCAAGTTGAGACCCCGCAATACAGAAACCAATGTTTTATAACACTGAAGTTTTATTCTTTTCGCGGATTCGAACACAATTTAGGGCTTGTTTTTTTAGAGTTTAACTTGAGTATAATTCTTGAGTTGAATTTGAGTTAAAACTTGAGTTAAACTTGTAATTTGAGTTTGCGTTTGGTTGTATACATCTGAGTTATGGTTTGAGATAAGAATCTTTTTGAGTTTGTGTTTGAGTGAGTCAAAATTTGAATTTGTATTTAGATAGTATTTTAATAAAAACTCAATGCTGATGAAAAATTTTAATAAAGTATATGGGTCGGGTTTTATTCGTCTTTTCATTGTCAACGCATAGAAAAAAAAATCATCTCAATCAGAATTAAAACGAAAAAGTTATAGCATTTTTAAAAATAGAAAAAATACTGTTCATTAATTTGAGTTCGAGTTTCTAAACTCGAGTTGAAGGGAAAACTTGAACTCGAGTTTTAGTCATAGACTCGAGTTTGAACTCGAGTTTAAACTCGAGTTTAAACTTAAAAGAATATGAACTCGAATAAAATTATAACTCGAGTTACCTTTTTTTGAGTTTTTCACTCAAAAGAACAAACCCTTAATTTTTTGCTACAGTATTTTCTCTCATAAAAATTTAAATTTAACTTTTTTACGATAATATTTTCTCTCATATAACTTCATTTTTCACCTGGAACCAGCAAAAGAAAAAAATAAAAGGGTCCTAAGAATTCTGGGTAAGGTACAAAAATGAGTTTTCTTATTTCTCTGCCCCTAGTACCATTTTGTCACATCATTTAAACTTACGAATTTAGCTACATAATAAAATAAGGGCAAATTATACGGTGGAACCTCTAAAATGCTTTCATTGTTAAAAGTATTATTTTTTATTGTTAAATTATATTTTTAACTGTTAAATCTATATAGGTCTATATTAAAAATTTATAGCGCGTCGTACAAAACTGCTCACTCTGCAGATCTAACAATTGAAAATTTTAATGTAACGGTAAAAAATAACGGGTGCGTTTAAAACTCGTTCCAAAATGATTTTATTTTTTTTATGAAAATGAAAACATTTTCAATCTCAGACAGAAATCATTTTTGAAAATTTATTTAGTAGTTTTATCAAGAGATTATTTTCAGTGCAAAAAAACTCATTAATGTCTCTCTTTCTCTCTCTCTCTGCTCGAGAGTGGAGAAAACGAAAACAAAAAATAAAAAAATGACTAAAAGTCGTTTTTCATTTCTCTCTCATTTTACACTAAGCCAAAAAATCATTCTCATTTTTGTTTTTTTATCTTTATTGCGCTAAACGCCGTTTTAAAAACATTTTTATTTTTTCTTTCTCAAAAAACATAAAAAATAAAAATGGGATCAATTTTAAACACGGCCAACACTTCTACCGGTAAAAACAATTGCTATGTTTGGTAGGAAGGAAAGAAAATAGGATAGAAAGGAAATATGGAAGTGATGAAAAATAGCAATGGTGGAAAGGAAATTGATTTTCTTTTATGTTGTTTGGTATGAGAAAATGGAAAGAAAATGAGCTTACATTCACTTGTTTGGTATTGGAAGTTAAATTGAGAGAAAAGAAAAAATCTTACTCGTAAATTACTTTTATACCCTTAAATTTTTTGCTTGGATGTTGATGGAGAAAATGGTAGTTTAGTAACTTTACTCACTTTAATGAGTTGTCTCCATTTTTCATCTCATTTTCTGCCCACTTGTGGAAAGAAAAAAAATAGTGGGGTCCACATATATTATTTTTCACTCAATTTTCTCTTCCTTTCTCTTTTCTCTTATACCAAACAATCTACATTTTCATTTTCCTTCCCTAAATCCCTCCACCTTTTTCCTACCTTCTACTTTTCTTTCCTACCAAACATTTAAGGAGTTCCACTGTAAAGGAAGCCTAAAATAAGACCCAGCACAACTAATAGGACAGCCTATCTAAACTTGCAAAAAATTATTTGTCACCGACAATGTAGACATGTAAACTATGATGACAACTTTAGACATGAAAACTATGGGTAAAAAGAGCTAAAGGGTGAAAATGATGTAGTCCACATTAATTTGTTTTGAAATAGTTTACCATACTTTTTGAGATTACAATAGTCAAGACGCATTATTATAATAAAGTGTGAGACAACTTATATTTTGTCTCCAGTGAATCACACTTCATTATTTTCCATGGTTGAGTGAGATCTCTTTTATAGTTTATGCTTTGCCACGATTCTTATACGTCTTCATAGAACGGCTAAGAATCATGTTAGTCTTATTTTATTTAGAGAGAGAGAGAATCTTTCTGACAAATTGACTAGTCTTTAATCGTGTAATTGCAGGCTTTTTTGTGGGTATTATTCTAAATTTTTTCTCAAGGATTATTTCATTGATTCAATTTAGGAAGGTTCGACATTGTCATCTTTGATTAAAAGGCTCTTTAAAGATGAGAACTTTTCAGACAAATTATTATTCAAACAATCATTAAAAACTAATTTTTTGAATATGTTCATTTACACAATTTAAATTATAAATTAAATTGTGAATGAGAAAAATATTATAAAAAAATTAAATTTAAATTTTTATAAAAAAAAATATTATAGTAATATAATTTGAGTTAGTTACCTTTAAACGAAGTTTCTTACCAAACAAACATCATCCTATTACACTATGTTTAGTAGGCGAGAGAGATAAACGGAGGGAGAGTGTTAATCCAATATTTTGTTTGAGGGCAAGGATGAAAGAAATTGGAAAAGAGAGGCAGAGTAACGTGGTCTCTCTCATGAGTAACCCACTAAATCTAATATTTTGAATCCTCTAATTAAACATCTCCTAAAGTGACGTTTAGTAAGAAGATTCGTACCCTGATTTAAATTATGGTTCATGATTCACTACAATATTTTATCTCACAAAAAATACTCATAAATTAAAAATAATTCTAATATCATGGTTCTAATCCATGAACCAAAACAAAAGAATATGAGCAATCTATCATCTATAATCATTAAAAAACCGTTTTATCTTTTCAATAAATTATTATTAACAAATAATTTAAATAGAAAATATAATAATTTGGTGGCAATAGTATTTTTTTTTTTTGGGTTCATTGTTGGAAGTAGATTTTTACTTGTTGTCCGATGTCTCTTTTCTTTTTAATGAGTAAGGGGAGGTTTTAAAAGTAATAAAGAGAAACTCTTTTTGTAAAATTTTAAATTATCATGAACACATGTTCATCTTTAATAAATTTTAGAAATCGTTCCTTAATTTTATAGACTAAACGTCTAAAATTGTCCAAAAAATTAAAGTTTAGAGATTAAGACTCATTTAGTTCGTTGATTCGAATTTTTAATTTGAATTGAGATGTAACTTTATGTGAAAATTTTTTACTGTAGTAAAAAAATTAGATATGATTATTTTTGAGAGTTTTTTACTGTAATAAAACTTGAATTTTAAACTTAAATAGGTGAAATAGATACGGTACTTCTTGTGTAATTTTTTTTTTTACTTTTATTAAATAAAAATGATTTCTTTTCGCTGATTCCCCAAAGTTCAAACTTCCCCCATTAGTCAAAACAGAAAAAAGAATATTTTATGGAAAAAAAAAAGAGAAAATCCACGTTTCCCATTAGTCAAAAATAAATTCGTAAGTATTGTCTTCTTCTCCATCTAATCATAGTTCTTACCTCAAAGTTCAAAACTTCCATTTTTATATTTTCTCCCAAAACAAAAAAATCCATTTTTATATCCCTTTCATTTTATTAATTATTATATAAATGTAAGAGCCTCCCTGTAACTGAAAAAGCTCAGAAATCTCTCCAACAGTCCAACTATACGTAAAGCCATTGGACAAACCATAATTCCTTCTGTTTTTCTGTCTCCGGTTCTATAAATTTACAGTTCATACAGTGACCGCCTCGGATTTCTCTCTCTGAGCTTCCATGGCGGACTCGGCTTCGGAGTCGCAGCCGGTCTACCTCCATGGCGACCTCGACCTCAGGATCATCGAAGCTCGCCGCTTGCCGAACATGGACGTCGTCACCAACCACCTCCGCCGTTGCTTCACCGCCTGCGGCACCATCAAGTGTCCCCCCCTCACCTCCGCCGCGGCTGGCGATCCCAGCGACTCCGAAGGCGGCCGCTCCGACCGGAAGATCCACCACCACGCGAGGATCATCACCAGCGACCCTTACGTCACCGTCAACGTCCCTCAGGCCACCGTCGCGCGTACGCGCGTGATCAAGAACTCCCAAAACCCTCACTGGAACGAGCGGTTCCACATCCCCCTGGCTCACCCCGTCGTCAACCTCGAGTTCTACGTCAAGGACAACGACGTCTTCGGCGCCGATATGATCGGAAGCGCCAGAATCCCCGCCGGAGAGATCGCCACCGGCGAGACTATCAGCGGCTGGTACCCGATCCTGAATTCCTCCGGGAAGCCGCCGAAGCCGGAAACGGCGCTCCGGCTGGAGATGCAGTTCACGCCTTGCGAGAAGAATCCTCTCTACCGGCACGGAATCGCCGGCGATCCGGAGGAGAAAGGTGTGAGGCACTCGTATTTTCCGTTGAGAAAAGGAGGCTCCGTGAGGCTGTACCAAGACGCCCATGTGCTCGACCATATGCTTCCGAAGATTGAGCTCGACGGAGGGAAGGTATTGATTATGAAAGTCTCAAACTTTCTTCTTTTTCATTACTCGAGAATTGAATTTCCTTCTTATGTCACTGGAATTGGTTTTCAACTCGTTGTTTTTATTCTTCAAATTTTAGAAATAATCGAAAAATATTAAAGAAATGTCGATTAATTTAGGTACTTTTCATCATTTTCTTTCACATAAACGTGTTTAATTTAATATTTGAAAAAAATTATAAATTATCGGCAGACATATTTAAACTTTTTCATCCTCAGGCAAACAAAGAGTTCAGTATAGGTGTTAAAGATTGAAGATTTTCTTATGTTTGAAATTGGTGCTTCTTGATTCTTTTGAGATTTAAATTGCTAAAATAATTGGAAACAAATCAACAATATATCTTTGAAACAAGATGTTGATATTGATTGTTCATTATTTGTTCTCTGTTGTTTCTCCCTATGTCGGAAGGTTTTCACACAAGAGAAGTGCTGGGAGGATATCTGCCACGCGATCACGGAGGCGCACCACATGATTTACATGACTGGATGGTCGATCTACCACAAGGTCAAGCTGGTCAGAGAGCCGACAAGGCCATTGCCGAGAGGTGGGGATTTGACGCTCGGCGAGTTGCTCAAGTACAAGTCGCAGGAAGGCGTGAGGGTGTTGCTGTTGGTTTGGGATGACAAGACTTCACACGACAAGTACTTCATCAATACGGTCAGAATTTATTACTGCCTGCCATTTTGTTGCAATTTCTGATATGTTGTGATGTTTCTGATTGTTGCGTTGTTGAATTGAATGCTCTGGTAAGTGGTAAGCTGTTTGAGTGGAGGATTAGTATCATTCGATGTCCTTAAAGTTACACTCAGAGCAGGTCTTCACCATTAAAAAATGTCAAAGTAGCCCATGAACTTTAATCCTTGTGTCAATATAGCCTCGTTAGTAAACCGTTAAAATGACAGTTAAACAGTGAGGTGGCACGATCTCTCTCTCTCTCTCTCTGTTTGTTTTTTTGTTTTGTTTTTGTTTTTGTTTTTTTTTCCCCAAAGAAACCTAAGTTTGCTTTGTCCTTTCCACAAGTGGATCATATTTGGTGCCAAATGCCAATTACCCAAAAATTTTCTAATTGTTGCGTTCTGCTAGGTTTGATTGTTTTTGATATGGAACTAGTGGTGTTTCTTTGCTTGCAAAGAAACGGAAATTGATTTGTGAATCGTGACTGTGGCTGTGACTGTGACTGTTGTGGGGTTTGGGTTGCAGGTAGGAGTGATGCAGACACATGATGAAGAAACCCGCAAGTTTTTCAAGCATTCGTCAGTTATTTGTGTGCTGGCACCTCGTTATGCCAGCAGCAAGATGAGCTATATCAAACAACAGGCAGGTTTTTTTATCTTAAGCATTTACCATAATAGTAAATTGACGGTGTAAGTTTTGATCTTTTTTCATTCACAGACATATACACATGTATATGCACTATGTATACGCATCTTGTATTGGTATTAGGAAAAACTTTTGCCAGATGCTCTTTTCTGTTTCACCCTAGAAGTTTTTCTTTATTTCATTGAATTATTTTCTTTCAAAGAAGCTGATAAACTTGCAAAATCTACTTGCCTTATGGGTCTTCTTCAGATTGTTGGAACTCTCTTCACACATCATCAGAAATGCGTTCTCGTGGACACGCAAGCGTATGGAAACAACCGCAAGATAACTGCATTTTTGGGAGGGCTTGATCTTTGTGATGGCCGTTATGACACCCCAGAGCATAGACTATTCCGTGATCTTGACACTGTATATAAGGAAGATTTCCATAATCCTACATTTCCTGTAAGTAGTTGGCCTATTGGAATATTGTGTTTGTAATTTCATTTTCTGCAACGTACCATTTCCTGCCAGAAATCTATTATTGGCTTGCATTGATGAGTACGGGCGTCAATCTGGTCATACATCAACACGAGTGAACAAATATTATTCACACAAGCATACTAAATCTACCTAATGATGCCACATTTTATGTTGCAAGGCATGAAACAGTGTATGTAAATTAAGTTCCTCGTAGAACTCTTTTTCGTGGTGTTATAATTATAGTCATCAATGTTTTGTAGAGTTTAAACAAAATGCTCATCGTTGTATCCTGAAGTATATAATTATGTATGCTTACACCTGAAGAGGAGAGTGAAAAGAGATTTATATTTTGTAGTAAGAATTTATTATAGTTTTCAACATCCTGTTTAAAAAAAAATATTAAAAACAGAAATTTTTGCTTTTTTAATTTAAAAAATGAGATAAAATTAGAAAAAAAAAAAAACTAAAAACAATAACAAGATTACCAAACATGTAATCTAAAAAAAGACAATTCCCCTTTTTTTTTTTTTTTTCCTAAAACAAAAAACTATAGGAAAAAAGATACCAACCAAATTGGTCCATATGCTTCATGATTTGTTCTTTCTTGGATTTTCCTATTCTAATACGTTTTCCCTCCCATATCCCTTCTACTGTTACTAGGCTGGACACAAGGCTCCAAGGCAACCATGGCATGACTTGCACTGCAGAATTGAAGGGCCCACAGCATACGATGTTCTTATAAACTTTGAGCAGCGTTGGAGGAGAGCTACAAAATGGACAGAGAGACTGCATTTTAAAACAGTTTCTCGCTGGCATGATGATGCTTTAATAAAAATAGGTCGCATCTCGTGGATACTCAGTCCTAATATGCCCGCCTCAAAGGATTCAGACGATGGTGTATTGTCACGTTCAAAGGATAGGGATTCTGTTACAATTGTTCCAGATGATGACCCCAAGTTATGGGTTTATACAGATGAGGAAAGTTGGCATGTTCAGGTGGGCTAGTGCATGTTTCTCTTTTAGCACTTTTTAATATGATTTGTTTCTCTTTTAAGAATTCTGTCTTGATTTGATTATTTTACCAAAACCATGTTGGATCTTTCTTTCTTATGCAGATTATGCGGTCCATTGATTCGGGATCAGTAAAGGGATTTCCGAGAGATGTTGTTGCTGCTGCTGCCCAGGTACATATTTTGGGAATGTTCCCTTGCTTTATTTTCCTTTCATGTTGGTCTTATGTTTTTGTTTCAACCAGACGAACAATATGCTGAAGCTGATTACGCTCTTGCTTGATGACAGCACCTCATATGCGCGAAGAATTTGGTGATAGATAAAAGTATTCAAACAGGATACATTCAAGCAATCAGATCTGCTCAGCATTTCATATATATTGAAAATCAATACTTTCTTGGGTCATCCTATGCATGGCCTGATTACAAAAATGCAGGTGAAACTGACAAACTCATATGACACCAAGTGTTATAAAATTTTGCTAGTAGGCTTGTAAGTTAACAGATAATTATATGATGACAAGTAGTCCCGTAGACTTCCGCCGCATCTTTTCCTCTTTCCTTTGATCCCAACAACTCTTAACTTATTTGTTTTCACGGCATGAGCAGGAGCTGATAATCTTATTCCAATGGAATTGGCCTTAAAGATCGCTAGCAAAATTAGAGCTAACGAGAGATTTGCAGTGTATATTGTCATACCATTGTGGCCTGAAGGTGATCCAAAGTCCGGGCCGGTGCAAGAAATTCTCTATTGGCAGGTTTATATTCATCTAATTTCTGAATTCCTTTAAGCCAGCAACCGTTTGAAACAATGGAGGAATTAATAAGATTTGTTGGGTTGTTGTCCATAATAATTAATTTGGTACAAGATGTTTACTTTTGTCTTTTCATTTTTGGGTGGATCCACCCTTTTCTTTGCTGCTAATCTTATTTAAATTAGTGGTTCAAAAATGAAGTGTGTAGCATATTATTCGACACCTTAGTCATTTTGTTATTCCATTGAAACAATGCATTTTAATAACATTAACAGCTAAACATATTAGTCTTATTTCTTACTGTTCTTGTTTCTCTCTGCAGAGCCAGACAATGCAAACGATGTATGATATTGTTGCAGGGGAACTAAAATCGATGCAGCTTGCAGACTCGACACCTCAAGATTACCTTAACTTCTATTGCCTTGGTAATAGAGAACAGAATTTTGACAAAAATTCAAATGCTGATGCTGCCATGGTAATAACTAGCACTTTAACAATGTTATATCTAATTCTAAAGTCCAATTAAGGCTTGTTCTACTCATATTTTATACATCAAATGCATTGAGATTCATAGTTCCTTTAACGTAATATTATCTTTTGTTCGTTTGACTTCCAATACTGAAAGATACGTTTTAAAATTTTTTTCTCTTTTTAAGCTGCACAAAACTCAAAAAATGTTGTGTTTAATATTTTCTTCAGGTCACCGATGCGTACAAATTTCAGCGATTCATGATTTATGTTCATGCTAAGGGTATGGTAGTAGACGATGAGTATGTAATCATGGGATCTGCCAATATCAATCAAAGATCCATGGCTGGTACAAAAGACACTGAGATAGCTATGGGTTCATACCAACCCCATCACACTTGGGCAAGAAGGAATAGACATCCACGAGGGCAGGTTTGTTAGTTTCTTCATTTTACTTGGTTCATAGGTTTGAGTAGAAACCAGTTATGGGTGTGTTTGAGATTGCTTTTACAATTCCTTAAAACACTTTGCACAAAAACCTATGCAATTATTGTGTTTGGTTAAAAGGTTGAAAAGCACTTTGCCCAAAGACCAAAGGTTGAAAAACACTTTGCCCGAAGACCAATGCACTTTTTAAGTTATTTGAAGAAGTTAGAATATGGAGCCTTTAGATTCTGCTTCCGCTTTTGCTCCTAATTTTTACTTTAATTAAAAATTGTGATTCTCGTAAAAGCACACTAATCCCGAACTCACATTATAACTTAATTTATTTTCTCGCTTTGTTGTCCCAAAGTGGATGTTAAAAGTGAGCCGACGTTTGGAATGAGAATTCGTGCCATGATTCGAATCATAGTTCGTGGTTCGCTACAGTATTTTCTCTCACAAAAAATACACGTAAAATGAAAATGGTTCTGAATCATGGTTCTGAATCCATGAACCAAACGTCCCCTAACCACTTTTGGGTAGTTTTTTGAGCTGACTGATAATTCTGTTTTAAATTTTAAATTAAGAGTTCATTTTTCCATTTTCTTCTAGCATGCAATGCAAGCAAGTGGAGGAAATAAAAAGGAGGTGCATTTCTTCAACTTGTGTCATTTATAACATTCTCTAACTAGACTCCCAATATGTTCAGGTATATGGTTATAGGATGTCGCTTTGGGCGGAGCATCTTGGGGATCTAGATTCGCGCTACGAAGAGCCAGAGACGTTAGAATGTGTGAGGAAGGTGAACGAGATCGCTGAACATAACTGGAAGAGATTCACATCGGACAGCTTCACATCACTACAGGGACACCTCCTGAAGTATCCTTTGCAGGTAGACGCTGCTGGTAAGGTTGGTCCCTTGCCTGGATATGAGAATTTCCCAGACGTTGGCGGTAAAATAATTGGAGCTCATTCCGCCACCCTTCCCGACACCCTCACCACATAATCCATCTCTATCTAATGCTCAACCGTGATTTTCTTTTTAAAAAAAAACAATAGTAATGAAATGGTGTTGACCTTGAGATTGTAAAATCAAAATAGTTGGGACTCTGTCTCTTGATTGTTTTATTTGTTTATTTATTTATTTTTCCTTGGTACTCTGCTTGCTGCTTGTAAATTTCTGCAAACCATAGTGAAAAGATTGGCATTTGGTGAATGTAATTTATCATATGCACATTTCATCTGTTTCTATTGATCTGTCAAGTCAGAGCTAACATTACTTAGGGCGCGTTTATTAAACAGTAAAGAAATGTAATTAGAAAGGTAATGAGAAGTAAAATAATAGGATTAAGAGTTATTCATTCTCTTTCATGTGTTTATTTAACTATTAGATGGTATAATAGGGAATAATTTCATTCTCTTTCTTATTGTTTACTAAAATTAAGAATAACAATGTTATAAATATAATCACTAAAATGTCTTTTTATACAATTTGATAATCATTTACTATAAAGTAATTCATTAACGGTAGATAAGTAAATTTAGTATTCATTTCTTTTAATAAAAAATCAATACTAAAGAGAGTGTAAGGATTGCCAATCCATTTCCTCATTCATTATATTATGTGAGACATATTAAATTTTCATTATTAATTTTGTAAGTAAACACATTATTAGATAAAAAATAGAACCACTTTTCACTTTCTCTTTAAACGTGCCTTTAGTGTGGATTTTTTTAGTGTATTTTGATACCATTTTGCTTGCACATTTATCTACTTGTTGAATCATTTGTGGATCGCAAACTTAGCAAAAAGTGTGGACTGAAAAGGCTTCTATCAACTGGATGATGATTTACCTGTACTCTACAATCAACAAGTGTGGGGACATTAAGGGAAATTGGAAAGGAGACAAATACTTTTTAAAATGTATTAGTCTGAATTTTTATCAATTACTATTAATTAATATCTTTTTTGTTAAATAACTATATAAATTAAAAAGGTATTAATCAAGAGTAAGGCGTAAAAATTTAGACTCATGCACTCTAAAAATAAGTTAATTAATTTTGTAAAATATAAAAACGGATGTACAACAATTGAGAAAGATGGAGAAAGAAAAGAGGAATTAGAAAGGAGTTCGGGCTCTTAAGGGTAAGGAATCAGTTGTTTCGTGATAAATTAGATATGTTAGTTCGGTCCAAAAGAAGACATAAGAGTATAAGAAGAAAATATGAATATTATTAATCAAATATACCGCGTTTTAATCCTAATAATAATTCAATATAGGCTGAAAATAATAAACATGAAGAGACCACAAATAATAAAGCTATTCAAATTATACTTCAAAAGCAAATCTAAATCCTAATAATAATCAAACTCCAATAAATTATAATGGATAAACATTAAATAAACTAACCCTAAAAGTAATTCAAATTCTAAACGAACTCTCAACTCTAAAGGAACTCTACTATGATCTTCAACAAAATCTCATAATATAACAAAAAGATACAAAGTAATTACCAATGAAAACGTTATTCTTGTAGATAACTAAATATCTAATAATACTTAAATTGCTAATTTATTTTTACACGTTTAGTTTTGCCTCAACAAAGCGATATCACAAAAATTGGTTGAATACAAAAGCTAACATAAAGAAATAATCAAATAAACATATATCGGTAGAGAAAAAAAGAGAGAGAGATTGGACAAACCACTAAATAAGAAGAATCCAATTAAGAACAGAATGCCTTGTTGGCCATTGAACCACTACTACTACTAATATCACAGTCCTCCCGTTTAAAAAAGCTATAATAAATAAACATATATTGGCAATGGAAAAAAAAAAAGAGAAAGAAAAAAAACAAATAAACAAAACTATATATACAAAGAAAAGAACATATGTTTGTTATGAGTCATGGCCACAGTGTCAATAATGTATTCCTTCCTCTTGTACTTGCTAGTCTTTTTCTTCAACTTTATATTTCTGCCTCTTCACTTCAATCTTCATCACCATTTTTTTATTTTATTTTTTGCATCATCATTGATGTAGCTAATAAGTTGAAGTGAAGATTCAGAAATTAACATTGAAAAAGAAGACTTTTTTCCGAAGTGCACCATCCTTGTCCTCAACTTGAAATATACATATATATATATAT